GGTTTCCAAGGGGGGGACCTGTGACTCCTGGCAATACTGCTTGGCATACTGTTGGCAAGATTACTTACTTCATGTATTGGAGTGGATAAACTTTACACCAAGCCACAGATGGGGAAACATTTTGCTTTCTTCTGTAAGGCAGTGCAACTCACTGCAGGCTAGAGAGAAGTGCCACTTAGAGGCAAATCATCCCTTGGCTTGCTGTGTTAATGAGCCTAGAAACAAAGAGGTGCCTCTTTGGGCTCCAACAAAAAGTGGTAGGTGTAAGACACTTGAACTTGGAAGGATTAAACGTACTGAAATCCAGACATTTAAGGGAAGCCCTTATGAGAAGGAGCTTTATATTCAGAAATAAAGAATATGGGATGCTGTAGGCTGAACAGGTTCAAAGGGGAGCATCTCAGGGGAGTTCTGCTACAGCAATGCGTGGGCAGAGCCCTGTCACTCAGAGAGACTGTGCACTGAGGAGATTAGGCAGAGGCAAGGTCCAGCAACTGTGCTGATCCCATGGCAGACAGTGATATTGGATGTAAAGGCATTGCTCTCTGCCAGTCAGTGAATGCTTAAAAACATTTCTGGGAATATTTTGGCAAATTGGTAAAAGAACATGCTCAGTGATTTGATGTTCCTTTTGGGTTTTGATGATCACAGCCTTACAAAAACAACAAAAAAAAATTAAATGACCATCAGAGAAAAATAACTCAAAAAAGCATTTGAACTAGTCATGCCAAAATGTCTAGCAGTGGTGGTGTGCTAGGTATCCACAGGTAACAGAAATATCACACAAGGTCAGTCGAAAAAAGGCACTCAATTTTCAAGATATGAATTCTAGTCTCAGATTATTAAAGTCCCTTCCAACCCAGGCCATTCTAGGATTAGCTGTGGATTACCTACAGACCAAAAATAATGCACAGACAAGATTTCAAATTCACAGAAAAGAGTTTAAACAACTAGGGAAAAAGTTTCTAAAAGTATTAATGCTTTCAATCCCAGAGTGGACACAGTTAAGTATTTAAATAATTATGCAGTAGTTGTTAGTTTTCTGCTAAAAAATTGGCCAAGCTCTAATAAGATAGGGCAAATTTTATTTTGCAATTTTTCCTCCAGTGTCATGTGCTTTGAAGGTGTACTGAGATCTTTCTTCTATACTTTGTCACTTTGTGACGATGATGTATGTGACAGAGATGCCCAGGCTATTGGAAACTCTGCAGATGGATTGCCCTTCCCATTAAGAGCAGTGGATCCTTAACTGAATTTTAGACAAGCATTGTCACTACCCAGTGCTCTGCAGCTTCTTGTTTGCCTTGCAGCTCTGACAGTTATCCCACAAGTCCCACATTTGGTGGTTCACAAGCTCCAGACATCCATCTACATACACTTAGAGAAAACCAGTATCTTATTTCAGCAGCTGAAAGGAAAGCCAAACAAGGCTGCATATGTTACTAATCATTTAGGGTTATATTTAGAGGTGCCAAGAGGATGGAGCCAGGCTCTTCTCGGGGGTGCCAAGTAATAGGACAAGAAGCAATGGGCACAAACTGATGCACACGAAGAACTTTTCCACTGTGCCGGTGATCCTGCACTGGAACAGATTGCTCAGAGAGGGTGTGGAGTCTCCCTCGCTGGAGGCATTCAAGAACAGTCTGGATGCAATCCTGTGTCATGTGTTCAAGAACAGCCTGGATGCAATCCTGTGCAATGTGCTCTGGCATGAGCCTGCTTGAGCAGGGAGGCTGGACCGCATGACCCACTGTGGTCCCTTCCAGCCTGACCCATTCCATGATATTTTTACTCGCCCCACACTGCACTCTGGGAGGTGAGGCAAAGAATCATTGCAGATGATTGTAGAAGAAGGCCCTGTAGCACACATCTCAAACTGTGGTTACACAGTGATTTTCCTTGTGCTGGGGCAGAGAACATGCAAAAAGGTAAGGGAGCTCCCATGGAAACAGAGAGACACAGATCTGGTGATGTACATACAGACTGGTGATGTATATCTTCCCCAGCTGGTGATGTACATACAGACTGGTGACATATATATTCCTCAGCTCTTCTTCCTTACCAAGGGTTTTCCACGTGTATTGTAGGGAGAAAGGAGCGTTTTGCCTCTGCCTCCAGGCCACAGATGTCTCTGGCATCACTCACTTTAAATTCTAAGATTGAAGTAAGTTCACCTACTAACATGTTTTCTGCCACGAGTGACATTGCTGCAAACCAATAATTCAGCAGAGGGAATAAGAGGTCCAAAAGAACAGTGGATTGTATCATCTGAGCTTACTGACTCAGAAGTCCTGTGTTCAGTTCCAATTCTGTCTAAAAAGAAAGCTGATTTCCTTAGAACAGAAATGTATATTTTAAAAAAAATCTTGCTCCACTTCCCATGTTTTTACTTTATTGGATCTAGTTATTCCAGGCAAGTGACAGTTTTAATCAACAAGAAACTCAAGTTTCTTAGATACAGCAGCAAGGTATGATATTCTGCCAGCAAAGATAAATTCGCTGAGGGTTATGGTAATTAATATGTACATTAGAAAAGGAGACTTTCCATCCACCTTTAATGAGCTATTCTTAGTACCAGAAGTATTTTCCAATACATGATAGCAGAAGGAGATTTAACCTTACCCTGTCAAACTTAGCATCAAAAGTGTTACAAGAGGGGGAATTCCAAGTCATCTCAATTATGTGGCACCACATGAAATAATTATATTTGGTCACCCTTCAGAACGATATGTTCCTGAGGGACAACTTTTATGTACTGCTCCTCAAAACACAGCTATGCTCTGACTGTGCTGCTTTTGATTTTTAAATAGCTCACACAGCTATAACCTCTGCATGTTATCTCTAACCATGAACAACAGTATTATTTTTACAGGCAGATACCATATCCTTGGAAGACTTTTTTTCCCCCCCTTAACTATCCCGGTTTACAACGTAAGACAAAAGAAATTAAAGGCTTTGTTGAATCTTCTCTAACACAATGGAAAGTTATCAGAGAAGGTTTTATACTTTTTAGTGACAGAGCTAATATAAAATGCAAAAGACTTTTCTTGAAAAGAATGAAAAGAATACAACCAATCAAACCTCATTCAGTTAATGTGCAAACTTGACTCAAAGCAGTACTTAAAATACATTAACCTGAAAGGCACAATGTACCTGACTCAAACTCAGAAAAATACTTGTTTTCACGTTTCAGAGTATTGAACAGGTAATAAAATGAATTTAATTTGCTACAGAAACACAACAGAACCCACCTCAGTTCCCTGCTGTGTCAGTGTTGAAAGAGGTCTTGATGTTTCTGAAAAATTGATCCCTGACATACAAACAGGAACAAGCAGGATAGACACTAAAAGTTGAAATACTTCAGTTTATTCTAAAAATGAAAAATCAGGGCAAGGCACTTGACTAATATTTTAAGTTAAATTTGCAAAACATTTCTAGATTTAAGAAAAACAGAGACAAAAGGTGATAGCTTGTATTGGTTTTTTATTTTTGTTTTTTTTTAATTGTTAATAGGAATATCTATACTTCATGCTATAGAAAGGACATCAGAAAAACGGGAAACATAATGGCAGTGGTTTTGGTTTTTACAGTTATGAATGCTCATGTTTCATTTAGCAGAAAAGGAATGGCTCCTTGTGCAACTCCTTGCAATACCAGGGACACATTTTGATGACATTTGCATCTCATATTTCACAGTCCTGTCCCTTCACCAACATGCAATGAGATCATGAAGAAACCATAAAACCAATCTCATCCATCGACATGTGGCTCAATTTTCTTCCTTGCAACTTTAAATTCCTTAAGGATATCAATGCCACATGACTTACTGTAAAAAGAAAGAGAATAAATAATCAATGATAAACCAAAAAAAAAACAAAACAAACCTGTGATAGGCAAAAGATAAATATACAAGCACATGAATCAGGAAAAAAATAAAAAAGAAAAAGTACTAATTTAGGATATTAAAAATTTCATAAAGGCAGTATTTATAATAACAGAGCTAGCATGAAAATTCCTCAAACGTGAAAAGAATTATATTGGAGATATGTGCTGAAAAGTTTTATTTCAAGCAATGTAATACAACTCAGATACAGAGCTCTTAGAGATTCTCTGTAAATCTTATTCAGAGCTGCAAGTAACCCAGCAACTTGGACATAAACATGAAAAAATCATAGTTCTAATCACTTGTAGTAGTGCTAGACTGGTTTCAACCTACCAGAGCATACATTTTTGGCAGGCACAGAGACAAGACTGAAAGCAAGTCCATTCATTTAAAAATGCAGAGAACGTGTAAGGTATTTTATAGTGCTAAGAAAATAATAAGACATAAGCACTTGGTCTTGCTTTTTCCTCCCTTTCAGGGTGTCTAATGTATGTCCTCATTAGTCAGTTATTTAAATGTTAGATATAAGGGATGACTTAAGCTAGATTGATGTTCACTGTGAGCACCTTTTAATGGAATGATTGGAATAATGATGTGATTGTACAGGAGGTTATGTTCCTTGAGACTCGAGGGTTCCTGGATGACTGCAAAGTAGTCACAGTTCACAGATATTACATACATGTATGAAAAACAGTCCAGTGAAGATGTGAGTCTATTTTGAAATGAAAAAAAACCCAAAGGAAATAGAACATAGGAGTGAGAAGGATGAATGAGTTTTTGGCATTAGGTAACACAACTGATACAGACACAAAGAAAATTTTGGTGGATACAGCTAAACTATGTGCTTTTCAGGTAGACACACAAGGAATTTAAAGTAAGAGAAGCTAAAACATTGTATGTAAAATCACATAGGTAATACTTGCCCTTAAGTGCTGCAGAGGAAGGTTTTGTGTTCAGAGGAGGATGGTCCCGATTTAGAGAATGACTCAGCTCATTCTTTAAGTTTTCCTTGTGCACGTGTTGAATCAGATGACAACACAGGAGTTACTGAGGAGAGAGCTGAAGGAGTCCATAGGTCAAGGAGCAAAAGAGAAACCATGGATTTTAAGAGTAGTTTAGTATTTTAACTGTGTGCAGCTGAAACAATAGAAGGAGGAAATAGAACAAAAAATTCTGGCAGTGAGGACAATTAGCTTACGAATGAAGAAATCTCTTTATTTGCATAAATTAATGCCTTAACTGTAAATAGAAAAAGGACCAGATAATGACCAACAGAAATGTGTCAGGAGAGGACTTGGTGTGGTTTATGAGACTAAGCTTTAATGGCAGTAAGACATCAAAGACCTTTGAAAAGATTTTTACTTTATAGTGTACTATTCCTACTATAGCATACTATTATGGCTACTTTTTGACTACTATCAACCTGATTGACCAGAGACAGTGAACTGTATCACTGTTTAAAAAAAATGTTAAATTTATAAAAGTTTGATGTTAAGGTAAAAATTTATATCTATATCAATATATATATTTAACAATACATGAAAATCTATCATATAATAATAATATAATAAAATAATATATATCATATAACATTATATTATAATTATCATTTATCCTTCCACAATTATTAATATTTCGAATTCTTTGAGGAAAAAGAGCTGGAACAAAGGACAACATAAAAATAGCTGTTAAGTTTCCCCAGAACAGAGCATTTTGAATATTTCAGTATTTCTACAGTATATTTATCAACAGTTGGCTAATGTAATAGAGTAGTGCACAACTAGCATATTTGCTCATGGCCTTAACAGTCACGGATATAAGGCTTTTTGTAATGTCTGTTGGGATTTTAACATAAATTTGGCAAATTCTACAAAAACTGGAAGAGTTACTGGGTTTAAGTTTTTTATATTCTATATTGACAAACTACTAAATTGCAGACAGGCTGTAAAAGAGACTTTTATATTGCATCATTATAAATATTTGTGATGTCTTCCATTTATAGATGCTTTAACTGAGTAGCTAAATGACAAATCTGAACTTAACAATGCAATGACCTCCAGTTTTATACAGCTTTGCTGACTATGCACTTCAGCAAAACCACTGCGAGTTTGAAAAATCAACCTGTCTCTTACCTGTCTCTTGGATTCTCCTCTAAGAATTACAGTTTTATATTGCTGAAACTACTGATTTTAGTAGAGTAAATGTTTGCATAATAGTGGAGTAAAATTGCAGAGGATGGCAGGTATCTCCTGAGAGCCCTGGAGTAAAGATATTGTGTAATATGGGAACTAGCTGTGAATCAATGAGATGCGAGCAGATGGTGCAAGGAAAAAGTTTAAAAATAAAACCAAACGTACCCCAGACTGAGGAATTAGAATCCTGCAACAGCAACATCACTGTTCTTCTCATGAAGACCTCAGGGGCTGAAGACTTGTCCTAAAGCAAGCCTCCTCTCTCATCTGCATCAGGAAGACTGCCAAGCTCAGGACCTAGAGGCACAGCATCAGAAAAGTGAGGCTTTTCTGCATTAATCAGATTATGTAGACTGTTAGAATATTTACTGGACTAATGGTAAACTCTTAGCACTGTGTATATGATGTAGTACACAAGATTTTGAGTGTAAGAAATCAGTGAAAGACATGGGCAAACCTGTTTGTGAACAATTCCAGTACGTTGGTGAGCAACCAAGCCTCTGGTAAAACGTTTGTAGGTGGAAGCCTACAGTCACCATAGAAAACTGGGAATGAATAGAGCAGGTGTGCAGTCCTGTGTTCAGGCAGTTACCTCATTTGCTGTAAAATAGATGAATTCAGGGCAACCCAGGTACTCTAGGATTGCTAATGATCCAAGGAAAGCAGAGGAACAGTAGTTACATCACTCTGTGATCTGGCTGTGACTCACTCCAGGCAAACTTTGCCTGGCTAAGTGGTAGTCTTTGTGATGGATAATGCTAGTTTGCTGAAGATCTGAGAGGAAGAGGAGAAAATAGAAGGCAGTCAGAGCAAGATGGTGACAGGTGGACACTGAATGGAAGCCCAAAGTTTGCTGGTTGTTGCTTTAAAAGCCTCTAATCACAGTCCTATGAGATCAGAGATCTCTGCTCCTTTCTCCTGATGCAGTTGAGTACAGAGTGGTTTTATTATGGTTACCTATAAAGTACAAAACCAGGCAAACTGACAGGGGAATCACAGAGAAAACCTAATCTGACTTCTCACTTGACATGTCCATTCTGCTCCTAGAAATATCTGCCCTCCTCTCCTTTTTAGAAGAAACAGCTGAGCCGAGGGAATGGCATATTCAGCAGGGACTAGGTCTTTGAGGTACAGATTTGTCCAAACCAGCCAGTTCCTGCAGCAGCAACTGTGAGTGGGTGTGTAACACGGTATGAGCTTTAAAAGGGGGAGCAGAATTTGAAAGATTGTATCACCTGGTAACTTATCACAAGCCAAAAGAAAGCAGAGATGTATTGGAAGCAGAAAAAGTTGTCAGCCTCTGTGCAAAGTTTTGTGGATAGTAGAGACAGACAGGCCTTGAATTAGGACTAGAGTGCATTTTAAGATCTTGTAGTGGATGTCCTAGACACAAAAATGCATTTAATTTTAGGGCCTATACACACTGGCATAGTACAGAAAGAGCTGGCAACCCGTATGAGAGAAGAAGTGACTTAGGGGACAATAAATAATGGTAAACCAGAAAAACAAACAAACAAAAAAAATCATGAGCATGGATGGCTCAGAAGCTGTAAAAACTGCCTTTTTTTTTTTTTTTTTTTTTTTTTGTCAGCATTTGCTGTCAAATATTCTTCTTTGGTAAAAGTGGCAAAAAGGGGATGACAAAGTGAACAGAAGTGGAAAAGTCGTCCATATGCATATGCAGTGGTAGGAAATACTATAGTAAGGAAACAGTCAGACCTAGAACAAACACACACAGAGACAACATGGGAAAACTGTGAAAGAGAGGTGACACCGGGACAATGTTTCCAACAAGGCCCCTACCAGATTGGCAAAAGGATAAAGGGAGTTGATTGCTTATGCCTCAGCTTTACAGACACCAAAGAACAGCCTGATCCCTGGGGATAGCCTGCTGTCCTGGTGGAACTGTGGGACAAGCCTGGATGCTGCCTGGGAAGACAATATGATGCAAAAAGATTGAACCCCTGGCACAGGCTGTGACCTGCACAATTCAGAGGGCTATGCTGGTCAAGCAGGCAGAGGAGGAGAATGAAGTGCTAAGAAACAAAGAAGCTGGATATTCAAGCAGATATCCAGAGAGAATTTTGAGAGATAAACGGAAGGTGCAAAGCGATATCAAAAAGGAAAAGTGTTTTGAACTGAGGAAAACTGATTGAGATTCATCTGTGCTTAAACTACTCTAATGGAGCTGGGGTTGCATTAACTTGGAAAACCAAGTTACCCATATAACACACGATGGTAGTTAATATCTTGCAAGTGGAAACTGCTATTTGGATTAAAAAATAAATATTTAGCTGTTTGCTGCAAAGAAGAGCAGGTGGAGGATTAATTAACATATCTAATAATATGAAGTAAATTTTCTTACTAAGTAGTTCTTGCAGTAGTATGTACTTCAATGTAAAGTGTTCACAAAACAGAAATGCAGCTAATAATCCTGGATATCCTCACAAACTCATACTGAGGGAAATGCTTTAGCCTGGCTAACTTAGATAATTATTAATAATATTTGCTCATTTTAGTTTCCACACCACAGTATAAACAATCTCTTCCAAATGTATTCACACTTTAGGCTGCATATCACTTATTTTTCTTTACTGTATAATTTTATTAAGCTACATGCATACAGGAAAACTGAAAGCCATACCACTTTTAACTCAAATGCTATGGCTGATTTTAAAAACAAGAGCATGATATAAACCTGAGTAATAGGAGACCAAGGATCCAAGCTAAAGGATTTATCTCTAAGCAAGAGAAAACCTGTTTCTTGATGTGAAGACAGATTAGTTCTTTCAAATCCATGAATATCAATGTTCCTAACAAAAATATCTGTGTGTATGTGTTTGTCTTGGATGAAGCTTTCTGTATTTTTAAAAATACAGAATTTTGAGTGTTCTAAGAAGAAAAGGGGAATCACCCAGGTATAAAATATTTCCTGTGGAAAGCTGTATTGCATACAATACAATCACCCACGGCAATGGACTGCATACCTGTAAGAATAGCTCTGTACCACTGGGACTGTGAGGACTGCACCTTCAATTATTGTACTGGGGGTCTTTTTAGACATGTAGAAAATAGTGGAAATCATGGGTCCTTAAGCTGACAGGGTATTGAAAAGTGACTTAAGTTTATAATACACAACCTTGCATGATTGTTCAACTAATTCAGGTAGCTTTGGAGATTTATAGGTATAGCATTGCTGAGATAAGAGACATGCATTTATGAAGATGGATTACTGAATGGAACTGATGTTCTTCATAGTCTGTTTAGGCAGACTCTGGAAAAGCATGGCTCAAGGCATGTGTTACACATGTAAGGATTATAGTTTTCCACATTTTGACAATTGCTTAGGTCAGAATTTGACCAAGGTGCAGGTACGAAATAGCTCCACTCATTGTGTCATTTCCTATGGAGGGTCCAGTTATGTTCATACACATTCAGAAATCACTGTGCACTCTCTCAGAGTGTATGTAAAGGTGCAAAATACACCATTACTTTAAAAGCAAGACTGTGGTCTCCAACATCTACAGAAACATGAATTTCACACGCTATAGTTGTAATTTTAGTTTCTCAGTGGTTGCTCAGTGGTTATACACCATTATAGCCTCAGACTCTAAATTGTTATCATCACAAAAGACCACACAGGAAAAAACCATAGTGCTAAAAATTTTTCTGTATAACAAGTTAAATTGCACTATTAGTTTGTTTTTTGGGTTTCCCCTCTACCTCCTACCCCAGCCCCTAAGTTAATCAGACCTCTTGGACAATGAAACTGTTAAATGTTCACTGGACTAACAGCAAATTCTTAGTTCCATGTGTGGTGTTCTGACTAGAGCAAGATTTTGAGTGTAGCACTAAAGAACTGTCCCATCTTTCTGTTCATTCAAAACACTACTGGTCACACCTAAGAACCGACTGGGTCAGCTGCCACCGACTGCCACTAAAAAGTAAACCAGAACTGACGCTGTCAAGATCTAAAAGACTGTCTGTGGAAAGGATTTTGAACTTCCAAAAGTTCTGCCCTTCACACACAGTTTGTACCAGATTCACCTGCTTTTCCCCCCTGCAGTGAGCTCAGTACACAAATTCACGAATGCAACTTGGGTACTATTCTGCTTTTTGAAAACTAAAATAGTTCTACATATACTAATGAATTTCTATGGACAGAGCTGCCAGAGCATTAGCACTGTGCATCTCCTCCTTTCTCCTCATCCCACTTGACCTCCCGAAGGATTAGATGTGTTACCCTCTGAACGATTATCTGGCAACCTCACTTTCTTGTCTGAGTAAAAGGCCAGGCAGCCTAAACGTCTGTAGTGCTTCAGGCAGGAATGTGAGACAATGCAGCCAGCCTTCGAGAAACACCCTAGGTAAGACCATTTCTCTGGGATTTTAGAAAAGACCTGACAATGAACAATAAGAAAGCAAAATTGGTGCTGAAGCTGTGGTATTTCATTCTTAATTCCAAGCGTATTGGATACAAAGCACGCAATGTTTGGCTACTGCTAACAAGTTGCTTGTTTAAGAGTAATATATTGGTACAGAATCCCACTGCAATAATAGCAAGAATGTTCCTCTGGGACAACTCTCCCCGAGAGCTCAAGCTACTTATTTTTTAAGTGTTAAACATACATTGGCACATTGCCAAGTATTGTGTGTATGGAGTCAAGGAGAGAGTCTGAAAGTTTTTTGTTCTTCCCCCAAAACATAAACACATATGCAAACACCAAGAAATAGCAGTACTGGGAGTTGTAGAAGGTTGTTGCTATTGGCAGTAATTACTTTTGAGAAATAGATATAGAAGGCATACAAACAACAGGATATACACAACATCCAAAAAATATCATTATATTCCTTAAGTTTGCTTGTATTTTGTATCTGTAAAGGGTTTCACAAATTCTTACTTGATTTTTTAGTAAGAATCAGGCATTTTCACAACAAATATTTTCTGCATCTGCTGCTATTTTTAAATTGGCATCACTTTTTGAAGTGTCTTGATTAATACGTAAAAAAACTTTGAAAAATATTTACATTTTTTTGATATTCTGTTGTATAAAATGAGGACACCAAATCATAATAACACTGTAATATCGTGAAAGCAATCATTACTTAGGACTTTCAAGTTGTTGGAATGTGTTTTTATTTTGCTCAGAATGGTAAGTGAAAACGGCATTCCCACCGACTGTGCTTACTGGAATTTCACAACACTAAATGTGGCTTTTTAGTATTTCAGATTGTACTTTAGTTTGGATCTTTGAGGACGTGTTGCTGTATAAAGCTCCTGATACCATGACAGGGCAAAGGTAAAACCTTAAAATATAATATCAGTACCCTACATTTCTTATGAAACCCCAACCCATAAACGATATACCAACAGATACTTGGAATGTTTGCTGCGACTTTCAAGGATATGTGCTTTGTTCTCCCTATGTAATCCAACAGCTGACTCTTTGCTTGAAGTACAGTGTTAATTATGGAACTGTGACATGATGTTTGCCAGCAGCTGTGCAACACTGGCCTGTTCTTTTCTCCAGTGTGTCTCACCTTGGCTAATCCAAAGATAGGGATACGTGTCATAGGGTCATAGAATAGTTTGGATTGGAGGGGATCTCTAAAGGTCACCTACTCCAACCTCCCTGCAATGAGCTAAATCTCCATGACCAATGTTTGATGTGTTTGGGAAGACTATCGAGATAATTTTATTTTTTTTTTTAAGGGGGGCATTTGCATTGAATCTGGATGACAACTGTGCAATTAATTTCTTGTGGATCCTTGGACAAATAACAGGGAGAAGTATGGCTGGCCAATGTGGCAAAGCAAGCTAATTTTCTTTCAAACTCTGAACTCCATTTCATGTTATGTACTGAATGTGCAGAAGCCAGCCCAAAAGTGGGAAGCTGCAATGTATACCATGACATGCTCAGACGCTTGACACCTGTATAAAGCATACGAGGGATCCTTCAAGAATCCATTCTTCTGGAATACTGAAACATGAATCTTTTTTGAACAGCTGTCTCTGTCCACAGGAACACTTTTTCTTGAAAGTGCACATTGTGAGATCCAGTATAGGCACAAGTGACAGCTTGTGTTCCTGTTTCTCATGGACTACCTCTCATCTTAAAGACACCTTCAAGGAAGGTGCAATGGTAATAAAAAAATGCATTAATCTCCTCATATGCAAGCAAACAAAGTGGGCCAATCATAACTACATGTAAAAAGACTTCCAGGAAAAGTCTGAGCTGGGAGGAGTTCTGCCTAGACTGAAATGATGACAAATGTTCGATATAGCTTTTAAGTATCTTGAATTTAAACATACAAAGGACATGCCTTGTAACTTGTCACTTTGAGAGATTAGCAATTCTTAAATGTTCTCAACACAAGAGTTAAAAAATAGCCTGCTGTCTTTGGTACCTGCCATCTCTTCTCAGACAGATTGAACTGTGGGATTGGGCAGTCTATAAATTAGGAGTCATCCATGACAGCTGCAGAACAGAAGCCTGTACACCAAAGATGACTCTGACAGGCTTAGAAGCATCTTACAGAGCCAGGCCAGGACCAGGGACCAGTGCTGCTCTAAGCCACTTAGAAGATTTAGAAGAACCTGAAACTCAGGAACTGGTTCTGCAAGAGCCAGTCAAGGCCAGAGACTGCACAGATCCATTCTGGTTGAGATAAGAACAGACATTACTGATGAGAGAGAATCTGAATCAGTGCCTTAGTGAAAAAAGGATTTTTTTCCTAATTTTTTTCCTCAAGTTCAGCATCTTTGTCATCTTTTGTAAAGTAAGTGCAAAATATTAGTGCATCAAAATGGAGGTACTGCGTGACAGGGGTAGACATTTTTCTCTTCAATGCTCTCAAGATCTTCGGTGGCTTTTAATCCAAACCTTTGATTTCTGTTTGATCTTTTCATATTCATCTAAATTGATGTTATAATTATTGTAACTGCACAGTTACTGCTCAGTATTGCTATGAAAAATTTTCAAGTAAACATAACTTAAGCATGAGTATCCTTTGAAAGACTAGTTTAGAGTCATTGATAAAGTCCAGCCCTACAGGTAACTGGGTGCCAGACACACAACTCAGATACCACTCCTATACTGCTGTCTCCACAAAAGAGCAGTTATACCCAACAGTCCTCCTCTTCCTATTTCTACTGGCAGCAGCAGCTGGCAGCTTTGTATCCACCTCTGACAAATGCACAAAGACACATTCAGCTGTTGGGACAACATTAATTGTCTGAACTGCTGTTTTTGCCTCCAGGTAGAGGACTAAATGGCAGTGTTCTGAGAGTCAACCTCGGCCTTTGAGTCTCAACAGGTTCATGGTGTAATAGATGATCACAATAATGTATGCCTTAGTGCTTTTGAGTTACTTTTTGATAAAGCAGGCAGATAAAATCACGCCCAAGTTGTAAAATGAAACATGAGTAGACAAAACCGGTATGGTTATCCATTTCCCAGTTCACAGAGTGTTAAATACAGCACTAGGGCTTTGTCTGTTGGAGGGACATGGGCTATTTGCAGAACTTAACTTCCTGAAGTACAATGTTGCTTGTATATGAGGCTAGATACTGTGTCATTTCTACTTAAAAACTTCCAAATGAAGGTTAAAAAGGGGTCCCTGTCTTCAGGGAGGTGCAAGTCGCGGGTAGATTCCTGCACAAACTGCTAATTTCTAAATCTCTCTCTTGTATTTATGCCAAACAGCTGATAACGCTGTTGTGAACCTGCTTGAGCTTCCTGACAATTAATAAAACCAAAGAGACCGTGCTAAGAGTGAAGCTTCTGTTTCCAGCACTTGTGCATTCAAAGACTGCAGGAATTGCTCTCCTACCTCCACTTCAACAGCAGGTGACCTCTCCAGTACCAAACAGATGTTCCAAAAGCATCTCCAGAAGCTCCAAAGCAGCAGCACAGGTAATATGCAACTATTGTAAAAAAAACCAAACAAAACAAACCAAAACCCCAACAATTTCCTGGCTCTTGCTAATCAGCTGGAATTTCTCTCCTCCTTTTAGTCTGCCAAACTAGTTAACTGTGAGAAGGAGGGTGACCCATTTGCAAAAGAACACGATGCACATGTCATGAGGCAAGAAGCTAGATGGATAAGACTTGTTAAACTTTGGTTTAGCACATGCATTGAAATCACTGCCATACAGAAAGGTAATTTTAACAACAGTTTTTCAGTCTCCAGGGAGACTGAAGAAATGGTGGCCACTAAAGAAAAAAAGAAACCCTGATCTATCAGAGCTGGATATGACAGGTAGTTCTACAGCATAGATACTACTTCTACAATAAGCAAACCAAAACTGCTTGGGCCTCCTGCTGGGGCAACTGTTCTAGTAAAACAGTATGACTATTGCCCTACATATTCCTGGGACAGAGAACACTTGTTGCACTCCATCCACAAGGAAAAAAGGACATGAATACTTGGATGTTTGCCTATGTAGATAGGAACTGCTGCAAGGAAATACAGCGTAGTTAAATGTACACACACTGTTGAGGAAAGAAATCAATACAGAAACTTTCACTGTAGCCAATTTTGGGTAATGTAATAAATGAATTGTTCACCACACACTGTCCTGTTATTCATCTGGCAGACAGGAAGGGGAAGCAGCACTTAAAACTCAAGAAAGCCAAGATGGGGTGGATGAGTTACAAACCGAGGATAAAAATTATGGGGATGGTTGTGGAAACGAGTAAGGTATCTAGGACCTGAAAAGTTTATTAACCATGGCTGAAAAGCATTCAAAAGAGGCCTCTAAATAAACTTTCTCACTACATGTCTAAACAAAGCAAAATTGCTGGACCTTAAATAAAAGTGCTCAGTGCTGGCCTAGAGGCATGGTCAGGCTGGTGATTAGTTGCCTTGGATATTCAGTGGCCTATCCAAAAAACGAGACATGCTGATATGAGGTCAAAAACTTCCACAGCTACCAAAAACTACCTGTGCTACTCAGCATTTAGAGCCGCACTGGGATCAGTTGAATTAATCTTACTTTGTTCAGGATTTGGTTTATGCGCCCGGTAAAGAGACGTTTTTGCTGTACAGACGGGGGTGTTTACGAGATAAACTCACGGATGTCCCGAGTCTTGTTTTGCTGAGCTGTCTGTGAGCACGCCAGCCGAGAAATTTATTCCAGCGCTCACGACGATGCCAAATCACTTTTGGGGGCGGCGGTGGTGCTGTTGTTGGCTGCGGGGTGGCTGTTGTGACTCTGTGTGTGTGTGTGTGGGAACGCAGAGTTCACCCTGCCGCTGACACGCTGAAAAAACCCCACATCAAAGCGCCACTAAGAAAACAAATCGGGGGAACCGCGGACCGGCGGCAGGCAGACCCCCACTCCCTCCGCCATCCCGCCTCCTCCTCCTGCCACGGGTCGGCTCGGGCAGATGCTTTTTCTTTTTTTTTTGTAACCGCAGATTTTTTTATTTCCCTTGCTGTCGCTCGCTCCGGGACACCGGGGCTGCCGAACCCAGCAGGGCCGTGCGAG